CCGCCCGAGCCGCGGACGCTTTCGACACCACCCAGGGGAGGGATGAAAGGAGGGGGGGCGGAGCAAGGGAGAGGACGACGACGGGAAGCAAACTGTCCTGGGTCCGCATATAACCATATGCTTGCGATTCGGGCGCGCGCGCTTTCTTCGAGGCGCTTCAAGCCCGACCCATGCTGGATTTACTCATTCCTCAAAGCTGTGTGATCGCTCTGTCCTCGGTTCCCCCTCTTATACAACTGCCTCAGACCAGAGGGGCAGTGTATTCCAGCGCGGGCCAAGAGCTCGCGCCATGCCGGGCACGGGCTCAATCGTGAGCAAGCTTCTGCGCGATACGCCCCCGGCAAAGCGCGCCGGGGTGGTCCTGGAAGGGCCGCTGCTCCATGAGGAGCCGCAGGTGGGCCGCTTCTCAGCCTCCGCCGGGGAAGCAGCAACTGCAGACGGCTCGTTGCCGTCTGTCGTCTCCGTTTCCGTTTCGCCGGCGCGGATGCGCAGTTGCGCGCGGCGGTCTGGGGCCCGGCTGGACGACCGCGCGGCTCTCTTGCAGGCGTCGGTGATCATGGCGAAACGTCCACCTGATGTCTCCTAGTGCGGGGTGCAGACCGCGCCTGCTGGACGCTGGAGTCCAGGATTGCGAACACAGAGCCCGCACTTCATAACCCTAATTTGTCCGGGCAGGTCGCGGCCTGAACCTCGCGCGGCGGACGACGTGAAGCTGCGGAGTGTAGCGTGGCCCTGGTTGTCTGCGACTGCCGCGGGGGCCGTCACCTGATGGGGCTGCGGGCGGCTCGTTGCCCTCTGTCTCCGTTTCCGTTTCGTCGGCGCGGAGGCGCAGCTGCGCGCGGCGATCTGGGGCCCCGCTGGACGACTGCGCAACTCCCTTGGAGGCATCGATGATCATGGAGAAACGTACACCTGATGCCTCCTAGACTGGGATCCAGACCGTGCCCGCTGGCCAGTGGAACTGCGCCTCGACGCGCCCCTGGGATAATCAACTCGTAGTTGCCCATGTCCAGGATTGCGAACGCAGACCCCGTACTTCGTAGCCCTAATTTGTCTGGGCAGGTCGCGGCCTGAACCTCGCGCGGTGGGTGGTGTGGAGCTGCGGAGTCCAGCGCGGCCCTGATCGTCTGCGAAGGCCGCGGGTGGCGTCGCCTGACGGGCGCGCTAAGCGTCGCGTTGCCAACACCTTAGGCGCCCAAGGGCATGCGCATCACGAGAATGCCGCGGCCAGCGCCCCGCTTCGACGGCGCGCCGGCCCAGGTGGCGGGCGAGCGTGTCTCCCGCGAGTCTGGCCCCAGCACTCGGGTCGACGATCGCGCTGCGCCCACCTGGTTGACTGCGCGCGACTAAGATGCACCTGAGTGCCGCACTCATTGCCGGGGTCGTCAATGAGCCACCAGGGGTGCGTCGGCATCTCGGCCGCGCCACTTTGTGGCGAGCCTTGTGGCGACGGCTATTATCGCGTGGTGCCAGCGTGCCATGTGTTTGAGATATCGGAGGTGTCGTCGGCGCATTGTCGTCCGCAGCTTCTGCTGGGCGTGGCGCGGGCAAAACCTGGGCGCGCATGCGACGCGCGCTGCTGGTTGCTGTCTGCGCGCCGGGCATTGCGAGAGCGGCGCTCGCGCCAGTTCGCCTCGTAGCTCGGCCTCGGCGGCCCCGGGCCCAGAGTTGCCGAGGCTCGCGGCGGCCCAGGCGTCGGCGCTGCTCCGATGGCATTAGCGGCCGCGCTGCAGGGCGGCGGCCATGTGCCAAGTCAAGACTGAAGTATCCGCGAATGCAGCTACCGAGCGCGGTGTCGCCGTCCACTTCCCCGTCAGCAGCTGGCGATTCGCCTCGTGGGTCCCCGGGCAGGGGCGGCGGAGCAGCGGCGGGCGGCCCAATCGCGACGCGCTCGATTCTCTGCGAGCACGCTCGCGGCGGCGAGCGCGGCGTTGTTCCGGCGGAGCATCGCGGGTGGACTCGCGGCCGGCCAAGGGGCGGGTCGCGCCGCAGTCTCAGGGGCTAGGTCACGCGTGACATTCGTTCTGCGGGCCGTGGTCGGCAACTCGGCGAGGCGCTGATAGCTGTGGATCTGCCCCTTGGACTTGAGTAAGGCGGCCCGCTAGCGCTGGCTGGCACTCCCGCGAGGTAGTTGGCTGAGCCCGCCTGCGCGTGGAACGTCGGCTCGCTGGTCGTCGGGGCCCGCGAGTTGCCTGGTCGAGCGAATCGAGGCCCCCGCGCTGCGTCGTCGATCTATCTGACTACCTACCAGACCACCCCAACCCAACTCGAAGGCCCGAATTTGACCCGAATTTCGGGTTGGGGGGGGTACGGATTCCATGTGTTTTTTCGATGTTCCCCGACCCCCCCCCGCACTGGAAATCGAAGAAAAAATTGGGCCTTCGGGTTGGGTTGGGGCGGTTTGGTGGGCGGTGACTATCAGGGCGAATTCGGAGGGCCCGCGGGGGCCAGGCCCGTGGGGCGGCGCGAGCTCCTGGGCGCGGCCGGCTCGTTCGCGCGGCCGGCTCCCGGGCAGCTGGGGCGGGGCCAGAGGGCGGCGGAAGCGTCGGCGGGCGCGCCCTCGACGAAGGAAGGCGATGCTGATCGCACGGGGCGCAGGTAGATCGGCGGGGGGCGCCTGCGCGCGCGCGGCCGCGAGCAGTGGTCAGCGTCGCCGCTGACCAGAGGCCGACCAGGGCTTCTGCCAGGAGCCCTCGGATCCGAGGCCGCGCTGAGGACTAGCCAAGCCAAGCCCCGACTGCGGTGGCGGGCAAGTTGCGGCGCCCATGAAGGCGACTCCCGGTGCGCCGGAGAAATGCCCGGCATCCGGGGCGGCGCCTTCTCGGGCCACCTCCGCGAGCGCCTGCATTTCCCAGGCCAGCCCGTGGGCGAGCGGCGCTCCGGACCAGCGCTGCTGCGCGCCATCGCCACCGCGTCGCGGCCCCGATATTTCCTCTCGCGGCCTCTGCGCGCGCCGCTGGACAACATTCCCCCATCGCGGCCTGCGCCGCTGCCTCCTCCGCGGAGGGCGGCGTCGACCCGGTCATCGGGCGGCCGAGCCAGGAAGCTGCGCCCCTGAGTCCCCTCGTCTCTGTCTTTGCTTATGCCGCCAAAGGGGCGTCCGCCCTTAAGTGCGAGCTGGCGACGGAGCTTCTGCCGCTCGCTCATTCGCAGGGCGCCTGCGCTTCGTCAGCGCGCGGCCCCGCGGCGGAGGGATACGCGGCCTGCGGCGGCGCGGCGATCGCCCGGGAGCTGCTCGCGCGCGCGAATCCAGATCTGGCACCTGGGCTTCGGGCGGCGCTAGCGGCCCAAGGGTCCAGCCCTCGTCGGTGCCAAGGGTCTGCTGCGCGCGCGTCGATGCTGTTGTCTTTAGTCATGCCTGCGAAGCCTCCTCGGACTGGTGGCGCACCGAGGCGCTGGCGATGTTGCGCGCGATCCAAGATATCGCCCACGCGCCCGAGCATCGTCGACAAACGGTTGATATCAGGCTCTGTTGCGGGGTATCGGATGCCGCGAGACTGGATAGTCGTCGTGAAGCGGCTGGCTGCAACGCCGACCGCTCGGAGGAGCAGCCAGCTGCGCCCTTCCAGTGGCATCGCAGCTCCATCGTTGTGCGTCGCTCGGAATCGCAGTGTGGGGAGCCGCGAGAGCAACGCGTCGGTTGTCTCGTTGCGCCGTCTCGAGAACTCGAAATGTTCACTTCTAGCTTGCAAGCATCTCTCTTTGCCAAATGGACCGAACTGACCCGCAAAGCTCGGGATGAGGCAGGTGGCGGCATTTCCGGGTTGGCTGTTCACCAAAGCCAATGTTTGGTCAGTTCTGTGAAATCCATGGCACGTGTGAGCTCGCGAGCAGCGCCACCAAGGTTCACGATGACGGTTGCGCACTGATGAGTGCTGTCCATGTCTGTGGCGAATTCGCTCCACGCGAACAAATCCGACACCCAGTGGTGAAACGGGTCGGCGGACTCGCGTTCCAGTGACCTGGCAGGTGGCTGACGCACGGTGCCTCCTCTGCCGCTGCCTTCACCTTGTTGTCCAGCTCCTCCACGCATCATCAAGACGATCACCGAAGCGATGTTGCTGCTCAGTAGCGCAAAGATGGAGATGCTCCAAAGGCAGCCCGTTGGTTTTGCCTTACGGTCGCTTTGAAACTCGGACCTGCACGGGGCTAAAAACCATCCCGACAGTTCGGACAACGTTAGTCATACTGGATCCCTTGATACTACCCAAAGGGGTGGTGAAACACAAGAGTATAGATAAAAATGTGTATATATATTAAAATATATACATACATATACGACATCTATGCATATATCTGTATATACGTCAACCTGCTTGAAGCCATTCGGAATACGCAGCGTGCCCACCATGACGAATGTCACAACCAACGCGCTCAATCAGAACCCAAACACTGGCCAAACAGTCCACCATAGCGCAGGAATCTGCGCCCCACCGCCAATGTCGGGGGGTTGTTGTGGCGAGGGGGCCGTGGCATCGCTGCCTCCTTGGGTTGGCCTACCCCAGCAAAAGGACATTTGTCCCCCCAGTAACGATGCCTCCACAGGGTCTCTTACGGCCGTCGGTTTTGGCCTCGTGCGCCTGTGGGCGCTTTGGCCAAATCCCCGCGAGGGTGGCAGAGCAACCGCAAGCAAAAGCAGCTCAAGGCATAGAAGGTGGTACCACTGCGGTGGGCGAACGAACTGCGACGTGCGTCCCCGTCGCATTCTGCGCGTCATCCGTGGATCGCGAGCTGGAATTGCTTCCAGCCCCGCTGCCAACTAGAATTGCGGGGGCTGGAGGCGAGAAAGAAAGCATGGTGGCTGAACTGATGTAGATCGGAGAACTCTTTCTTCTCAGAAATAATGCTTCGCGCCGGCGCTTGAGCCCAGACGGCAACCAGGCATTCATTTCGAGTGAGGATGTTTGGTCCCAAAAAACAAGGATATCAGGGAGGATGGAGAACGCGAAGGCTTACCAGTTTGCCGTTTGTCCGAGACCGCAGGTTCAAAAGACTCGCGCCTCTCGACCTTGCCCCAGACCTCGCCCTTGAGGCCAACTACCTGGACGGCGGGGGGAGAGGGCATCCATCCTCTGCGCGTTCTTAGGAAGATGCACAGGAACAACACTGAAAAGATAGAAGGGAGACTGCACCGAAAAGGAGGAGCAAGGGGGGAGATCTTGTGGTCATCGTCGGCCCAAGATTGTGACGGATTCTGGAGGGAGGAGTGGGGAAAATGATCACGATGGCACAGAAGACGACGAGACACTCACGTCATCCTCTCCTCCTGATCGCTATCTTTCTCCAACCTCCTCCTACTTCACCTCATCCCGCCCCTCCTGCTCCTGATCCTGGGCCTCCTCCTCCTCCTCGCCCTCCTGCAACTTTGAACATCCGATAATGAGCAAGCGAAGACATTCGCAAGCCTCCTCCTGCGCACCTCGTCTTCTCCCTGCCCCTCCTCCTCCCTCACCGTCTCCCTCACCGTTCATCCTCCTTCTCATCCTCACCTCTCGTTCCGCCTCCCGGTGGTCGACCCACCGCCTGGCCGGTGAATCACTGGTCGCAGGCGCTGGGCTACAGTAGGAGTCACAGCCGAGCGAAACGACGACAAGATGTCCAAGTGGGCGTTGGATATTTGAAATGCTTACGCGAACAATGGCCGAAAGCGAGATTGTATCAGTTTGGATAGAAAATCCCTCGTGCATGCGATCGTTGTGGCACAAACAATGCTGAAGACTTTGAGCATGTCATGCGGAGCTAACCGGGTAACACATCTACATATTCAAAATCCAGCGACCCTCTTGCACAGTACCTGAGGTCGCAGCGGGGCTAGAGCAAGGCCCTGATTTGTTGGCTGAGAGTTCTTCCCCGTATGTTCAATGTCTTCTCTCTGTCGCGCCAAACGTCGAAGGGGAGGACGGATCGATGGTGCTTGGGGGGGATGCGGAAGGGAGTCGAGTGCGAAGGCCACAGGAGGAGCCACTTCTGCTGGTCCCAGGAGGCGCAAATGTGGGCGTGCAGTCGTGGCGCTCGCCCACGACGGGAGAGGATCTTCCATTTTCTGTTCCCCTTGGCCAGCGTGTTCGCGCAGCACCCGTCCGATGAAAGGAGGCGGGAGGCGAGATGAGAGGCGGGATCGAAGGGAGGGAAGTCAGAGGGAGGAGGTACCCTTTGGCGCTCCTGCAAACTCAGGCAGGGAAGGCCCGACTATTACAAGCTTACAACTTGAATTGGGCGTCCATTGCAGAATATTTGGAACTCTACTCGAGTTCCAACCCTAAGAACACATCGGCACAGGGTGCCAAGTTGACAAAAGGTAAGAGCGTAGGTTCCAGGATCTCTGAAACCACAAACATGTGACAATGTCCTCTGTCCTCCTCCTCCTCCTCCTCCTACTGCTCCTCATCCTTCCTCTTCTGACCTCCCGACGTACATTGCATTCTCTACAATCCCTGCTTTTGGATGCGCAGAAAATCGATTCTGGCATCAACTCTCATCACCGTTCTGCCCGGCTAGCGACTGCTCTCGTCGGCAGGTGAGGCCTGTGGAGGTTGAGGAGGGCGAAGGAAGAATAGCAGGAGGATGGTGATGATAACGGAGGGGGGTCAAAGGGGGGACGACGACAATGTGGAAAAACATGTTCGGAGAGGTTGCCTCCACCGGGATGGGCGGAATGGATGCTCAAGACACAAGGTCTGAAGCCAAGATGGGTTGCCCGCACCACATGTCTTAAAGGTAACGACAATTTAGCGGGCTGGGTCAAACCATATTAGTGTATTAGTCGAGTCTCAGGTCGTCGAAAATCTATAATTTATCTACATTCGAGCCTGTGCGATCGCAAGAAAGAGCGACTTGCTCCGCTGCCTGCAATGCACGAAACATGGCTGGCGAATACACCCAGGCGGCGGACGACGCCACTAACCTTTGCTTCCCTGGTCCGTGGTCCCCTCCCCCTCGTCAATCCTGGTATCGTACCCTCTGTCCATCTCCACAATTTCTCCTTCCCAGGGAAGACCGCCGAGATGGCTGTGGGCGCCGCAGCCGCGCCACGCTCGTACGTACAGGTATACGTAGAATGTGAGGCGTCACGCGCGCCGCTTTGGGGAAGATCGCATTTGCAAAACCCAGCTTGGTGACACACAACCACAGCGGGTAGGCTCGGGGTGCCATGCCATTGAAAGGTCTCCCCAGCCTGTTCTGCCATCGAAGCCCTCTCTCGATTAACAACGATTCGTCTTTATCCTCCTCCTCCTCCTCCTCCTCCTCCTCCTCCTCCTCCTCTTCCTCCTCTATCACCTCCCCTCCCCTCGAAAGTGGCGACTGTGTCGCAGATCGCAGCCCCCAGGGACGGCGAGGCCTCGCTCAGATCTGTGCGGGCTGCTCCTCGTTACTCTCTTCCTGAGGAGCAAGGTCGTCGTTCTTCTTCGTGTTCTCGATGGGCTCCGTGAACTGCGCCTCGATCTGGGAGAGGGTGAACATGGGCGCGAATATGCCGCAAAGAAGGTCAGTGGCGATGTCGCCATGCTCGATGAAGTGCTTCACGCGCATGTGGTTGCGGAGCAGGCCAACGAAGGTGCCGAAGCCGATGTAGAACGTGCAGCCGATGAGCGCCCATTGGTACAGGGCCGCAGTGCATATGGTGAAAATGATTGCAGTGTAGTACAGCAAGGAGAAGGCACCCGTCCACAAGCCAAACGTGACGCCCGGACCGAGGCCAGCGAAAGGCCATTTGCCGACGTGCACCACAGCCCTGCCCATGGTTACGCCAGGCAAGGCTGTGTTCTTCAAGTGAAGGACGAGGTTCTTCATGTTGAAAATGAACGTTGAGAAGGCCTTCCGGTTAGGGTCGAGCCCGCCGTTCTCCTCCTGGCACAAGATCACGAGTGACTGCGAGCACCAGAACATGACGAATGTGTAGGGCAGGCCCGTGATGATGGACGCCGCCTGGAGGGCCTTAAGTGCAGCGTCTGCGCTCGGGTGGTTGTTGCCAGAATACAGCAAGGCAATAGCGGTGGCCCCTTCTGTGAAGGACCAGAAGACACGCTGGAACACTGGGGGGTCTGGGTGGCCGTTGGAGGAAAGGATGTCCACCACGAACGATCCAGAATCCGACGAGGTCACGAAGTAGAATGTCAAAATGATGAGCGTGAGTGCGCACAGCATGTCGGAATAGCCGCGCGGGCCGTACGAGGAGATCTGGTCGAACAGGATGTCTGCGGTAGCCTGGTTGTACAAGCATACGGTACCATCCTGGAGAGGCACGAAGCAGTCAGACTGGTCGGTAGTCGGGAACTGGTCGTAATTGTCAGCAGCCAGCTCGTTGATTTCGGTCATGTACTTCGCACACTCAGTACCATCGTACTTCGTCATGTTGATTGCGGTAGGATCGAGACCCCCGCCGCACGGTACATCCACCCACGAGGTATGCTTGACACACTGCTTGCCCTTTTCGTCTTTAGAAGGATCCACGTACCTAGTGAACTTCGCCCTCTTGCACCTGCCGTATCCGCCGTGGTAGGCATCGTCCAGCACGCAGCTGGGGGTCCAGCCCATATTCAAATTCTGCTTATCCGCCAAACTGTACTGGTCAGCCCAGGCCGATCCTCCCGCGTAAGCTTGAGTGCACAGGCCCGCCGAGTCTGCCATGCGTTGCATGCGAATGCCCTCGGTGCCCCACACGCAGAACCAGACGATGCTGTACAGGGTGGGCACAAAGAGCGTGGACATGATGAAAACACGAAGGGTCCTGCCTTTGGAGATCCTTGCAATGAATGTGCCAACGAAAGGGCCCCAAGAGATCCACCAGCCCCAATAGAAGATGGTCCAATCAATGATCCACGTGTTTCCGCTAGTGCCAGAACCGCCCAGCCCCATGTCTTTGGTGCCGAGACGCTCCCAAGCGTCGCAATGGAATCCAATCTTCACGATGTACCACAAGTAGTAACCTGTAACCTGCACAATGTTGTCCAGGATGAGGTAGGTCTCGCCGTTCAACGCCACGACAAGCATCAAGAATGTCCCCATTGCGAAGACGCACTGTGAAAGGAACTTGATACCAGAGCCGAGGCCCATCACTACTGACACGGTCGACAGGCAGGTGATGATGAGAATGATGAGGATCATGGTCGTCGTGTTTCGCTGGATGCCGAAAGATTCCTGACCATCATCACAGGAATATCCTTGGCCACCACATCCAGGAACTGAATACTTGGCCTCGTCCGGGATGGCAAAGTTCTCACCGTGGTGCGTCCCCCAGCTGAGGCGCTGCAGTCCGGCGTTGATCGACATGGCGCCCAGGCCGAGGGACGTGCAGACGCCTGCGATAGACGTCACGATGGAGAGGGAGTCCACGGCGTCTCCCATCCATCCATAAACGTTGTCGCCGATGAGAGGGTAGAACGCATACCGGACGGTCATTGGGTATCCACGCCGGTAAGTCATGATGCCAAGCGTAGCCCCCATCACCACGTAGGGGATCCAGCCATGAACGCCCCAGTGGAAGACGCTCACCATCAGCGCGTGAGTCGCGTCCTCGTCCACGTTCCCGTAGCCCTTGACCGTGGAGAGGAACCTCGGGGAACCCCAGCCCTTGAAGTGCCACATCGGCTCCGCAACGGCGTAGTAGAACAGGCCTGTGGCGACGCCGCAGCAGAACAACATCGAGAACCAAGTGGCAGTGCTGAACTCCGGTTCATCGTCGTCCTTTCCGAGCTTCAGCTTACCGTGCTGGACCATGGCCCAGATCAAGACAATGACCCAGATGTCCTGAGAGACGATGTAGAACCATGTCCACACCTCAGGGATCCAGCCCCAGGCGACTTCGTCCATGGCGAACTTCATGTAGTCTGGCTCAACGCAGCAGAGGATCACGAAGACCCACAGGAAGATTGTCGAGGAGATGAACACGAGGGGGTTTATCACGACGACCCCTTTCATCTCAAAGTGCCAACACTTCCTCATGTGCGCTTCCGTCTCAGGCGGAGCCTCCTCATACTTGCAAATCGACGCCATCGCTGCCATCTCGACACGACGCTCCTTTTGCGGACAGCACGCTCCGAACTGGAAAAGCTGGAGACGCAGATTGCCTTGAACCAGAATCGACTCAACCAAAATGGCTGCGGACGGAGAAGGATCTTGGAAGGTCCACACGGATGATGCCGCGGCCAGACGAGCAAACGGCAGACAATCCCACATGCTGGGCTTTTCGACTTCCGCACGTTACTCCAGACTCCGGGCCTCCTCAGGGCCCATGAGACTCGACACCGATCACGAGGCCACATCATGGAGGGCTGGGTCCAAGGCTGGACCCAGCGGGCCCCGGGAGCCTGGCACGGGAAGACACGCAGCCAGCTGCCCTAATGTGTGGGCCCGCGCCACGCGTACCATCTCACCTCGAAAAAAAATGGCATGCACACATGGACTATTGGAAATCCGCGCTGACTTCATCAAACTCAGGATTGTGCCGCTTGTTGTTCTTCGAAGAAGACCCGCAAGCCTGACTTGTGAGCCCACGCCACGCGTTCGGCGGCCAGCCCACGGGGGAAGTGAGAGGGGACGGGCCTTCTCAGAGGGCTCAGAAGTCCTCCGGCCTTCCAAACAATTTTCTGAGACTTCACCGAAGGCATGGAGAACTTCTTGCACGGCCCAAGTGCTTCTGAGAAGCCCCGACTCTGAGAAGGCCTCCTCCTCCCCCTCCTCCTCCTCCTCCTCCTCCTCCTCCTCCTCCTCCTCCTCCTCCTCCCACCCCCCTCCCGCTCGCTCGCTCGGGCATGGACTGGACGCCGCCAAACCGCCACGCCGAGGCGCCACGCCCGCCGGGCCAGCCGCAGCCGCTGGTTCGGCCCTGGGGCCCGTGCACGTGCTGCAGCCGTCGGGTGGGCCAGAAGCGCGGACCGCCCGTCGGTCCTCGAGAGGAGGCCCTGGCTTTTCCTGGTGGAGACGAGCGCGTTCCACTGCTTGCAAAATCACTACTCGCAAATGGCTTGGATCCGCCGCGAGGAATCTACGATAGATTACATCAGAGCAGGCATTTGTTTTTTGTCGGACGTTTGCAAGTAGGCACTTTGCGAGTAGTGGAACGCGCTCGGTGATGGTGGAGGTGGAGTAGGGGAACAAACAACGACGTAAGCATATAAACGTGCGGGTCACCGCGAATTCCTCGGATCGGCGCTGGAGCCCACTGGCGGCGCCTCCGGCGCCGCCCCTGGCGCGCGGAGCGTGCCAGGGAGAGGGATCTGGCGCCGATCCGAGAAATCCGCGCAAACCTAGAAGCTTTAATGCTTCTGTCATTGCTTGTTCTCCTATTTCTCGGATATGAAGGGAAAGAAACTGAGGGGAATGATACGCGACGAATCTCTGCAATGAAGAATGCAAACACCTGCAGTGGCCCTGGACTCGGGACGACTCGGAACTCGGGCGGGGTGATGCGGAAGGAGGAGAAGACGAGGAACAGGGAGCGTGGGCAGCGTGGTTGCCAAAAACGGCTTTCACGCGCATCGGCTGTTCAAAACCCTGGCCCATGCCAGAAATGTCGAGCGCAGGCCCTTGCTGCCTCCACACTTCGCCTTGACCAGCTGGCGGGCGCCGCAGGAAATTTGAAGCGCCTTCGGCGCACCCGAGAGGCACTGACGAGTTCGAAGGTTTCGCGTTAGTGCTGCCATTTTGTTGCGCAGATCGACGGCGCGTCTCAAATGACACTTGGCTGACACGGTTGGCGGCCCCAAAACTGAGCGCTAGAAGGCAGGCTGCTCAAAAACACCAAAGCGAAATCCAACGCACGCGAGGAGCGCTGTCGAATACGTTCGACCGCTGCGCCAACGAGTGGCGCTGCTCAGCTCGCCGGGCACTCGTGAACGACCACCGCCTCATCCAGGCTGCAGCGGCGCCCTGCTTTGGAGGCGCCCCGAAGCCCGAGGACGGGGGACGAGGTGGGGCCTGTCGTCGGGAGGGGGATCGTGATCGTGGGAGCTCGGCCCATCCATCCCGCCGCTTGCGTGAGGTCCATGTCTGGAAGCTGCTTCGCTGCTAGGCCTGTGAGGGGCCATTCCCAGGGAACGAGTTCAGCCAAGCCTTTCCCTCCTGAGCTGGCCCTCAAGGGAGAAGAGGTCTTGGATGCAAGCCACACCAGGGGTCCAATGAGGCGATCAAAGCTGCCCAGTATGAGGATGATGCTGCTGCTCCAGCCGAGACCCCTGTCTGCCCCCCCCTCAAAAGCCTCGGGCACTGTGAGGCCGACTTTGCCTCGCGAACCCCTGGTCGTACAATTAGCAACAGGTTCCTCTGAACTCCTCGACCCTTTTTTTTTGCAAAAAAAAAAAAAAAAAAAAAAAAAACGAAGGATTGCAAAAAAAAATGCAAAAAAAAAAAAAAAAACCTCCCCCTTCCCCTTCGTTCTTCGTCCTCACAAATGTCTGCCACCGTGCCCGCACGGAGTGTGCGTGTCAGAATGCTGGTCTGTTGTCTGGAAGGTGTTTTGGTTTTTGGGGAGGCCGCCCTTCGTTGATACCAAGAAACTGTGTGTGGGGGGGTCACCGTTTTCAACATGTCGGTGTTCGGCTGACTAAGCGAAACACAACTCTGGAAGCCAAACATATCAGGCACATGCTTTACAAAACGAAGCCGAACCGAGAACGGCGCGAACGAGAGTCCCAACAGACACACAAAAACCAGCCCAATACATAAAGATACACCACATAAGGTCAATATTGAAAATCGGGAACACGCCCAAGCGTTCTGCTTAATCGTCTAAGGGGCCGCCCGCCTGTCCGCAAGCGTTCCTCTGAAGCCGCCCCCCCGAGCTGACTCTCCGGTATTCGTTTCGGCCTCTACACGGCCAAGATGGCCTCAATACTGTTTCCACGACAGCCAAGGTGACACCAAGACGGCTCAAGATGACCCAAAACAGCTCCAGAGGCTCCCAAGATTGCTTCCGGGCGGCCCAAGAAGCCAAGAGGCCCACAAGACGGCCCAAGAGGGCCCCAAGATGGCCAAAGAGCCCGGGGAGGCGAAAGCATTGACTGTATCATGGTTTTTGGAAACAGCGTTGAGGCTCTCAACTGTTTGAGTTTCTGACCGCCTAACACGTCTCAAGAGGCCTCCAATATAGCTCCAAGACAGCCCATGAGGCCCCCAAAGAGGGCCCCCAATCGGCCCAAGAGGACCCAAGATTGCCCAGGAGCCTCCCAACAGGGCCCCAAGCGGCCCCAAAGCGCACCAAGAGGGCACCAAGGCCGCCCAGAGAGGTCCCCAAGACGGCCTCCGAAGGCGACAGACGTGGCAAGAGCCCCCTGAGACTGCCCAAGGGACCCCAAGGGGCTCCCAAGAGGCCCCAAAAGACACCCAGGATGCTCCCAGAAGCTCCCTGGAGGCCCCTAGGAGGCCCCAGGAGAACCTTTAAGAAACCTTCTCCTCCTTGTCCTCACTTTCGTTCTTTCTCCTCCTCCTCTGCTCCTCCTCTTCCTCTTCCCGACCGCGCGGATGAAGATGAAATGCAATTCGCGACGCTCCGCAGGTCAGACCGCTCACTGAACTGCATTGGGACCTCCTCCCTACCGCGCGGACGAAGATGCGGTCGAGTTCACGACCCGTCCAAATGAGACCAGTCGTCGGAACTGCGTTCTTACACTCAGTCTCCTTCCTGCTGCGCTAATACATAATCGGGCACGGAGGCGAGGGTTGCCGCAGGCAGCTGAATTTGCCCCTGCTTTGCCACCTCGCTGGCCGACAGTACCAACTGGGACTCCAATGCTGCGTGTTCAAAAACAAATAACGTCGACGTTTTCGTTTCCAACATCGACGCTTTCTCGCCCACGTCGCGAAATGCGTGGCAAGAAGGGACGGGCCACATATTGCGCGCAAAAAGGCGAAACATCGCTCTCGCCTCGGCGACGCGCTTACGTTTCCGGGTGGTTCAGCCCCCGTTTGGGCACGTCGCCTCTTTTTCGCACGCGTTGGCGCCGCGCGGCTTTCGCTTGTGAGTGGCGCTCCCGCCTCAGAGCGGCGCATGTTTGTCACTTGTGGCCCCGCGTGGGCCGCTTACCCAAGACTGGCCGTTCGTCCTAGGCCGTTGTTGTTGCCGGTCCCGGGGCCTGGCGAGGCCCCAGCGGAATCCGAAGACTGGCCCAGGCCTCCCGCCGCGATTGCGTCACAACGCGATCGGAAGTCAAGGCTCCCCCATACGAGCGGAGGTAAGGGCGGGGGACCAGCTCAGGAAACGAAAACATCGGACTGAATCGGCGGCATATCGCCGATCGATCATCGGCAGTGAAGCCCTACATTCCTCGGATGGGGGTGGGCCATCGGCGACCAGTGAGCGATTGCAGGCCGATGCATCGCCCCCTGGCCTTATCCCCCCTAGCGTTGCCCTGACCTAGAAGAACTGTTTCGCTCGCAGCAGCGAATTTTTACCGCGTTCGAGCGCAGACGTGGGATGCACGTGGCCGAATCGGGCACAGCGGGCGACGGGCGGACAAGGAGCGCGCAAAAGAAAGGGGACCTGGAAAAACAAACGACGGCATGAACATAATTTCTCTGACCTCAACTCGGATTTCTTCGGATGGCGCTGAGCGCCTCCCTGGCGCGCGGAACGCGACACGGGCGGCGCTGGAGGCGCCGCCAGGGAAGCCCCAGAGCCGATCCGAAAACTCCGCACGGAACTTCAAAAACTTATGTTTACGAAATTGTGGTTTCCCCCGCATGTCTAGCGGGGTGTTGGTTTTCTGTCCTGCCGCGTCGCACCCGCGTCTCCTCCCACACACACCTCCCTCTTCCCCTCATCCTCTTCCTCTCCTCCTCTTCCTCGCCTCACCCGCGCGCAGCACATGCCCGGCACATGCATGAGACGCGCGTTCTACATACAGCCGCGCGCATGCACACACGCAAAACACATGCGCTCAATATTCGCAGGGCGTGGCAGGCGCACTGCATCATAACCCAAGACGTACGCGCACCGTCGCCAAGGGCATCGCAGGAGTGGCAAATTCTCGACGCCGCAGGGGGGGGGGGGGGGGCGCTATGCGCTGCAGGCTCGCATGGCGTGGCAGGCGTCGCATTTCCTCGACGCCACAAGGGGGGCTCTTGGGGTGGGGGCGCTATGCGTTGCAGGTTCGCCGGGCGTGGCATTTCCTCGACGCCACAGGGGGTGCGCAGGGGGTGGGGGCGCTGTGCGCTGCAGGCTCGCAAGGCGTGGCATTTTCTCGACGCCGCAGACGATGCGCTGGGGGTGGGGGCGCCATGCGCTGCAGGCTCGCATGGCGTGGCATTTTCTCGACGCCAATGGGGGTGCGCTGGGGGTGGGGGCGCTAGACGCTGCAGGCTCGCAGGGCGTGGCAGGCGTGGCGCGTCCTCGACGCCGCAGGGGGTGCGCGGGGGGGTGGGGGCGCCATGCGTTGCAGGCTCGCAGGGAATTCGCATTGGGCGCTCCAGGCCACGGTTCTGGATTTCTGTCGAAGTGTCCCGCATGAGACACAGCGTGGCAAGCGTGGCGTTTCCCAACATCTTCCCACCGCCCCAGCAGCTCTCGACCTCTTCCCAAGTACACGGCTCGTGTTCCCAATGCGCGATTGGCGCGGCACTTCCATGACCCTTGAGAGCTGCGCGCGGGGTGGGGACGGGGGGCGCACGGGCGAGAGCTCGTGTCTTATCCAAAGCTGTAAACACCTTGGCTCAAGCCGGCTCCGCGCGCGTTCGCTCTCACGCAGGCGCTCCTGCGATCCTACTTCAGAGCACCGCCCTACCCGCGCGCGGCAGCCATGCCCCTATAAATCGCCGTGGGCGCGCTACCACTTCTATCTCTGGCGACGAAGAATGCAATGGTTCAGATGGGCGGCGAGGTCAGCGTGGAGACCTCGCGCAGATGCGCCAACGGAGTGGTGCAGTCCTCTTTGAATGCGCACCGCCGCCAGCTGAACAATGGGTGGGCTCGATGCGCTATACCCACAGTACTCCGAGATGAACGCCGACGGCAAAGGGGCAGTGCCTGGCGGAGTACCTGCGGAACCCTGCGTCGGGAGGATTCCCTCAGGAGGCTCTTTTGGACGACGACGGCGGCCCACCATCGAAGGTCCGGCAAGTGCGCGAGACCGGCAGCGCGGCTGCTGACACAGAGGCCTTTTCGCAGCGCTTACCACGCCTATGAAGGCTACGCCGACGAAGGCCACGCCAACGAAGGCCCCGCCAATGCAGACTTGCACTCCGCAGCGGTACCCGACCTTGTTGCTGGCTGCTTGCGTTCGTTCCACTGGCGCCCTCCGTATTCAGCTTTCTCCTGGGCCCGCGGAGACGGGCGAGCGCAGGTGCGCAAGTTCGAGAAACAGAGCCCGGACGTGGTGGCAACCCTTGTCAACCCCGTCGGAATCCAGAAAGAGAAGGCGAACGGCTTGTTCTGTTCCCCGCTAAAGGAGGCGCACTTCAAATGGCAAAACGCCTACATAGCGCACCGGGTGAAAAGGTTTGGGCACGCGCTCACGCGCGGGCGCTTCCTGACGCCCATCGCGCCGCAGGGCCAAACGATCCGCACCGGGGTTACCATCGACTGCGCGCAGGACACGAGCATTGGCAGACCGGAGGAGAAGGCAGAGAACTGGCGGCTCCACTTGTACGCGATGCTCAGCAGAGCCACTTGCATGGAGGATCTGCTCTTGCTTCGGCCGCCGCCAAGGGAGGTCCTGCAGAAAGGCCCGCCTCCTTCCGTGCTCAAAGCGCTCCAGAAGATCGACGAGCGCAGGGCCACGGAGACGCGGGAGATCGAGGCCGTCGCCCTGGAACGCCAATGGATTTTGCCGGCGGCGTGAGGTCGTTGGTGCGCACTGGCGCTGGAGTATTTCCGACAAATGCACCGCTGTCCAGCCGCATCGTATTCGAGCGGCCCGCGCCGCTCTTTGACGATTTCGGAGCGACCGCCTAGCGCTTGTCCTCGTGGCAACCGCAGCCCAGAGATTCTCCATCGAAGGGCACTCACAATTGCATGCAGGCGGATTACGTTTGCTTTGCAACGCCTTTGCGCGCGCAGCTTAGAGACCCTACGTCGAAGAGACGCGGGGACAGACGTGGAAGCTGCATCATAAACAAATTAAGAACCATAGCCAGACCTAGGTGAGAAAGTGAGGCAGGGGTGCAGGAGAACGCGGCATGAGGGGATGGAGAAAGGAACATTCTGGAGACTCCCTAGGGCGTTTGCGCGACGGGCTTATTTTGCACCGACTTCCACACTGCGCCCCCTGACTAACCGCGATGTGGCAGATCGTCTTGCATTACCTCATTGTTTGTTGCCGCCACGGGGAAAGGGCTTCGGTGACCACCTCGATCTTTTCCCCGATGGAGGACAGAAGGCGGGGGACAAGGTTCAAGCAATGGTGTGATGGATGGCAAAATAAGGAAACATTCGCGACGAGGGTTCAGAACGCAGGATTGCGCATATATGGCAACGATAAGCAAGCACATGAGATTCAACCAGAGTATGTGGGGTTCCTCGGTAGCGTAATTTCGGTGACCCCTGCCCACTCTCCCCTCGTCCCCTCGCTCTCCCTCGCCCTCCCGGCGGGCACCGTCGCGCCGATGCCGATCACTGGCTTCGGTGCCTCAGGCTCCGCCTTGGCGCCTGGCGCCTGCAGCGGGGGGGCCAGGCAGGGGGCCATCCCACCCCCTCCGGGGAGGGGCACGGTGAGGAGCAGGGGCGAGTCCTGGGCGGCCGTCGCAGGAACGATGCGGGGCCAGCAGGCCAGACTGGCTGGGCGATCAAGCCAGATCGAGCCTGGATTAAGCACGGGATTACGGCCGATTGAGCCGGAGTGGGCGGACTTAAGCGGGCGCCAGCGGGAATATGCCCGATGAGGCACGTTCTCGACCACGGACGCAGCAGCGCCAAAGCTGAACTAGCCCTCGCCGGGGGCTGCATCCGAAGACAAGGACGGGAGTCTCAAGGGCTTCGGACACCTATTCTTTCTTTATTCGTCGACTGGTTTTCGGTGAGTTCTGGGAATCCGCCGTCGTCTCCCCAGCCACCCGTACAGTAGAAGGAGGAGGAAGAGAAGGAATAAGAAGGGGAGATGGACGGGAAATGCGGAGTGGGATGATGGGGATCTCCACCGCCGGGAACTCTTGAGGTCCACGAGATTCATGGTGCACTCGCAACACGTGCTGCCGAAGCCTGCTCCACGGATGATGCGGACCGAGTTCGCAGAGGGACTCGAAGGTTAGTGGTATACCGTCGGAGGTCTTTTCGGAGAGATTCGGACATCAGCCGAAGCAGTTGCAGGACAAGTACAAACATCGATGATGAGAAGAAGATGGAGGAAGAGGCTGAGCAAGGAGGATGAAGGCGGATGAAGCACGACGAGTGAGGAGTCATGATGAGGGAGGGAGGTATGACAGAGGAGAGTGGAAGATGGAAGGAGAGAGGAAGGACGGGCGAGGAGGAGCAGAAAAGGCATGGGGGGGAGTGAGAACACAGGAGGGATGGGGGAGGGAGAAGGGAGGAGGGAGGAACGAGGGTGGAAAAGCGTGGAGGACGACGGGAGGGAGAAAGGAAACGGATTGAGCAGCGAGGACCGAGCGAGGAGCGAAGAGGAGCGAGGTATACACTGGAGGGAGGGGGAACAGGAGCAGGGAGCGAAGATGGAGGGAAGGGCGACAGGCAAAGAGGAACGAGATGGGATCAGGGACGCGGAAGAGATGCGGAAGAAATGGAGGGAGCAAGCAGAAGGAACGAGGGAGGACGGCGGAGAAGAGACGGAGGGGGAGCGAAAATGTAAGAAGGAAGAAGGCAAGATAATGTTTTGGTGCTGCCGCACACTCGTGACTGTATGGGCTGCCATGCCAGAGTCCAACCGAAGAGGCGAAGCGAAGCCACGGCGCCGCGATGAGAGGGGCGGTACGAGAGAGGATGGGACAGTGTGACATGGAGGAGGGGTAGAGCAAGAAGAAGGGAACCTCGGCTTTGGTTGCGCCGGTGATCAGAGGAGGGAGGAGGGATCCAAGAAGTCCCCACAGACCTCCGAAAGTTTGTGTGGCTGTCCTGATTTCTCGTCGTAGAGAGGGTGGGGGAGAGAGAGAAGGTAGGCAGGCAGGCAGGTCGCGAGGATCGGGTCGGACGAGGGGGGGATAGCAAAGGGGGGGGTTAGCGGATCTGCTCGCACAGCTGGCTTCTCGGACGCCTCCCGGCGCCAGGGGCAACAGTGTATCGGGGGAAGCGCCTGGCGGCGAGGCTGGAACCAGCTACATGTAAAACGACGCGAAGATCGGGACAAAATCGGATCGGGATAACTCGAAATCTCTGAGAATCGGCGGGTTTGGAGGATGTATTGGGCGCCGCGGCCGCTCCAGAGCGTTCCGGAACGCTCTGAGAGCGCTCCGGAACGCTCTGGAGCGATTTATCCCGATCCTAGCCCTGTTTTAACATGCAAGCAACTTCCTACCTCCCCTGTGTCCCTATGCCGGCCCGAGCTGGAGGGGGGACGGGTGAGCCAGTCAACATCGAACAGGGAAATCGACTCGCCCCAGAATGTGCGGTGGATCGGGCTGCATCGGAACGGAATCGACGTCGAATCGATCGGCTGCGTCAGGAGGCACAGCAGCGCCATGCAAGCCTCACAACTCGCATCGGGTCGTCACAGCATCGCAATCGAATCGGATCGGCCCGGCCAGAACCGATGTCGAATCGGATCAGACAAGACACTGGCGAGGAGAGGTGGGCTCCCTGGAGCGAGCCCACTGGCAGCCCGCTGTGGCCACCCAAGGCTGCACGATGAGAGCATCCCGCCCCCCTCCCTCGGCAGGGGGCCACGTGCGAAGCCTACCCCTGCCCCCCCTACCCCTGCCCCCTACCCTACCCCGGCAGGGGGAGGGTGGGGGTCACTTCGCTTTGGAGCTCCCGAACGAAGTGAGCCCCACCCTCCCCCTCAGAAATCGTGGGGGGTAGGGGCAGGGTTCGCATGTGGTCCCCTACTCGGGGAGACCAGAAGACCAGAAGACTGCATTCTGGAGAGGCTGCGTCCAAACGGGGTAAGCCCAGACGGAGGCCGAACACTCCTTGAGGGCTTACTTCGCACGGACTCAGTCAGCATCCTATCAGGAGCGGCTAAGTCGAGCCAGAGTAAGCCCAAATGGAGACCGAGCACTCCGCACTGACTTTGTCAGAACGGACTAGTCGTCCTCCGATGCATGAACACAGCGTTTCGGGCGGCTGCGCGAACTCCCAGCGCTGGACACCCTCCCCACACTCCCTTCACCAGCGCGCGGAGGTCGCTGGGATGTGGCGGCAGGGTTCCAGCGCCGACCCAAGAGACTCAGGCGGACGACGGACAACGTATCTCCATGTGTTCTGCAGGTGATTCGGATGCTGGGGGGAGTAGCAAGTAAAGCAGGGCTAGGATCGGGATAAATCGCTCCAGAGCGTTCCGGAGCGCTCTCAGAGCCTTCCGGAACGCTCTGGAGCGGCCGCGGCGCCCAATACATCCTCCAAACCCGCCGATTCTCAGAGATTTCGAGTGATCCCGATCCGATTTTGTCCCGATCTTCGCGTCGTTTTAGCACGAGGCCCCCCCCGCCCTCTCCTTCGGCTTCTCCTTCGGCTTCGCCTGGGCGACCGGCGGCGCCATGGCCCGACGGCCGCCGGCGAAGTGGGTGCCAAAATGGCTCGCGGCGGCGACGGGGGAGGAGGAGGAGGGGGAGGAGGAGGAGGAGGAGGGGGACGAGGAGGAGGAGGAGGAGGAGGAGGAGGGGGAGGAGGAGGAGGAGAGGAGGAGGAGAGGAGGAGGAGGAGGAGGGGAGGAGGAGGAGGAGGGGGAGGAGGAGGAGGAGGAGGAGGAGGCGGAGACGAATGCCACCACGACGACAACGACGGCCACGCGTGGCCTCTCCTCCTCCTCCTCCCCCTCCTCCCTTCCGTCTCCTCCCGCCTGCTGCCGTGCCGCCCTGTCCCTCCTGCCTCCTCCTGCCTCGACTCCTCGTGTTCGTCCTCAGCCACCACCCCTCCTCCCGTCCCCCCTCCTCCCCCCTCCTCCCAACTTCCTCCGCACCATCCCTCCCTTCCCCCCCGCTTCCACATCCCTCTCTCACCCTCCTCCCTCCTCCTGCCTCATCCTGGCTCATCCTCCTTCTCCTCCCCCACCTCCTACCACATTTTCTTCCTTCCTCGCTCCCTCGCACCCTTCCTCCCTTACCCCCTTTCCCCTGAACCCGCAGCCTCCTCCCTCTCGCTCCTTCACCTTCCTCCTCCTCCGCCTTCTCCCCTTGTCCACGGCTTCCTCTTCTTCGTCCTCGGCCTCGCCCTCCGCACCCTGATGTCACACGCATTCGCATATACTCGCGATCCGCCTCCTAGCCAGCCGAGGGCGGCCCAGCCCGAGACGTTCAAACCTTCCCGTCAGTGCCGTAGACCCATCGCTCCGTCCCAACGAAGACCTTACCCCGTGCATGCTGCAACATGCGCAACACGAGTGGGGCGGGGCGCGCATCCCGCGCGAACGACCGAACTTTGGAGGCCTGAAGATGGGCACCAACACCAATACAGGGGGCTGCCTCCACAGGGGGGAGATGATCCTAGATCTCGGTCTTGGTGGTAATCTTCCGGTCGCCATTGGAAGCCAGAATATTACCACCATCACCGAGATCGGGATCTCTTCTTCCCTCGGTGGAGGAACACCGCCGATGTTGGTGTTGGTGTCAACCTCTAGGCCTGCGATCGAACTCTCGACTCCGGCCTCGGCGCCGCGCGCACTTGCCCACAGAAGTGAGTTCCCGCTCCGGCGCGGCGCCTGCTCGTGGACGCGCGAGCGGGCGAGAAGGAAGCGCGCTCGCCTCCGGCGCCGCGCAGACTCCGCCTGCAGGTGGCGGCCCCGCCTCGACGCGGCGCAGCTTCGTCACCCGCCCACTTGGGAGGGCCCACGCGAGTGGGCGACGCTGTTGCCCTTCGTTCTGTAGGGGTCGGAAGTGGCATTCCGGCGCGGGCGCGGCGCACGGCTCGTTCGCCGAAGCGCGTGGAAGCGGCAGCGGCAGCAGGGCCACGCGAGAGCGGGCGAAGTGCCGACCTCGCCGAGAACGCCGCACGCTTTGCGAGTGAATGTGACAGTGTTCTGTCAGCGCGGCGCATGCTTCGTCTTCGCCCATCGGAAGTTTAGCCGCTCCCGCCCCTGCATGGCTCGCGTAGGCACTCGATTCGCCAAGTTGACCGTCAGAAGCCGGACCGCGCGCGGGCGTCCTTCGTTTGAGTGGCGGGAGCGCGGTCCAATCCCAAGAACAACATGTGCCACACTTGGTCATTATTAAGAAGCCGAACTCTATACACCGACGCCATTTCCGGCCCCGCACTGAAACTCGCACAAGAAAGCGGATCCTGGTGTATACGGGATCCTGGTGTATACATGTTTCGTAGTCTCCCCGGGAAAGCAAGGAAACATATACACCGCACAACCCCGATGTCGTCCCCGACCCTAAAAAAATCCTGAGATTGAAAAACAGCCCGCCACTGGTAATGTAGATGCTCCAGTTTCCGAACAATGTTGCTGGAGGGAGGGTGGGAAAAACGGGGGCCCTCTGATTCGCTCGCACTGGCCAACTTGACCATCTCGCTGTGCCTGCTCGTCCTCCTCCTCCTCCGCCTCCCGTCGCCCTCGTCCGCCCCCCTCCGTCCCTCTCTTCCCCCTCCCGTGACCGCCCTCCACTTCTCCTCCTCCTCCTCCTCCTCCTCCTCCTCCTGGTCCCGCTATTTCTCGACTCCGAGAGCCGCGGCGGCGAGGGCGGCGCATTGCCCTGGCCCTCGACGCGGGCCGCGACAGGCAATGTGCAGTTCAGCTCCTGGGAGGGGGGGGCCCTGGGCAGAGTGGATTGGCATCCTCGTCATCTCCATCCATCCTCCATGTCCGCCTCGGCCTGCTTCCTCCTCTTTCGCCACCCTCCCTCCCCGTACCTTCCTGAACCAGTCCTCCCCAAATCCTCCTCTCCTCCGATTCATCCTCAACCTCAACCTCATCCTCTATCCTCTTCCTCCTCCTGCTCCTCCACATCTTCCCGGCTCATTCCTCCTCCTCGTCCTCCTCCTCCTCTTCGTACCGCTCTTCCTGCTCTTCCTTCACCCCCCCATCCCTGCCCACCAATCCGCATCCTACCCCTTATCCTCCTCCTGCCCGTCCTCCCTGCCTCAGTATCCTCGTTCTCCATGTGACCTCCCTCCTCCTCCGTCCCTACTCTCACCCCATCGTCATCCCTCGCCTCTTTCTCATCCCCTCCCCTCGAAGTGCTCACCAGCCATGAAGGGCTGGTGAGCAGATGGGGTTGGCCTTCTGCGTACACCCTGCGAAATGCTTAAGAAATCATGGGTTCAGAAATTCATAGTCTCAGAACTTGAATAACAACCCAACATTTCCATTCAGAACTTAGGATTTACATCGAAACATTAAGAATAATCGAGACTCTGGCCGAAAATTTAAGTTTTCTTAAGCATCGCCTAAGGTGTACCTCCATTTCACCCACTGGCCGTCCATCGTTCCATCTCTTCCCACTCACCTCGAGGGGCGGCGGCAGGGGAGAGCCGGGCCACCACTCCGCAGACGAATAACTGTACACACAACGCAAGAGGCCCCCAAGACGCCCCAAGAGGCGCCCAAGAGGCCCAAAAGAGGCCCCAAGAGGCCCCAAAGCGGCCCCCAAGAGGCCCCAAAGCTCGGCTAGCCCACAACGGTGCGACAATATGGGCCGGCGGAATGAGCGAAGCGATTGATAACTGTATACACAACGAGTCTCCGCCATCGGGAACGCCTGTCCTGTGGCGGCCGGAAGCTGATGCCTCCACAACGGCAAGTGGATGTACACAAATCTTTCCAGCCAGCCAAGCTCGTGCGTTCCCGATTGCGGGCCAATTATGTCATCACGTTCCTTCGCCCGCAAAGCGCCCCTCTGCCAGGAGCCTCCCGCCTGCACCGGGCGAGGCGAAGGACTCCGGGGGCGGCGCGGACAGGAGACAGAGCCTACAGTTCACAGTCCCTGATACAGGGCCAAAAATACACACCACTGGGACTTCCCCCCTGCCCAGCCTCAAGCTGATCCGCACCCCTCAAACTGACAGACCCGAGGCGGTGACAACGCTACGGATGTGCCCTCAGAAATTGGGGGTGGGGCAATGATCCTTCGGATCGGCACCGGCATCATGTGATACCAATCGTTGGGATAGGATTGTGCTTCAGGCTGGCAATCCTCCACCCTTCAACTACTCGGGGCAAACGAAAAGGAGACACAGCACAAGGGATTAGCGAACCAGCTGCATGTAGCTGGATTTCCATGTCCCTACTAGCGTCAAAGGCGACACGGTCGAAACCAACTGCACACAGCAGATGTCGTAATCTCCCCTTTCCGGTTCCACCCTGTTCGTCGTCCACCACGACCCACCTCTTGCCCTCTACTGGTGGTGTGCACGTTTGGGCCCAAGGTACGGCAGGCAAGGTGAGCTTGCCAAACATTTGAGCTGAACGCAGTGCAGGCGCAGACACGTAACGTTTGCCAGACGACTAGGATGCAGTGAGACAGTGAGACGTAAGTACACGATTCGGACAGGTCATGTGGGGGTAACAGGGCCAACCTGTCTTCGCAACGTCATAGCAACTGCCCATCCTTTGGCGCGCGAGAGCCAGCTGTGCCGATTCAAACAAAAACGCATCCGCTGTGTTTCCGAGCCAACTTATCCTGGCGAAGGACCTAACCATAGGCAATTTTGAGTGCCGCAAGGCAGGCGAACGGATCGAGGGGGAACTCGGGGGAACTCCCGATGGGGCCGCGACCCGCGTGAGATGGGCGAGCCGCGTGAGGGGTGTACCAACATGGGGCGGGTACCGCACGCGGGCTGTGGGTGAGGCGCGCGCGAGGACGGCCGTTGTGACCTGCGATGGAGCTTCTTAAAGGGCAACGACACGTGTGAGAGGCATGCCGAAATGGTCTGGGAAGCCGCGCGCGAGGACGGTCGCAGAGAACTTCGCGGGATGAACCGTACCTTCTAGGGAGGAGGGAGGACGAGGGGAAGGAGCAGGAGCAGCATCTGGGGGATGGAGGAGGCTGAGGGATGAAGGAGGATAGACGAGTAAGGAGGGAAGCCCTGGGAGGATGGAGGCCTATGGCAAGAGCCACTCATGTCAGGTCAGGTGGATCTGGCGGCAGCCGCCGTTGCAGGAGCTCCTTCGGGCCGCCTTCTCCTGCTCCTGCTCACCCATCCTGTCCTTTACTTATCTACCTCTATATATATATGTATATATATATGTGTATATGTATAGAGAGAGAGAGAGAGAGAGAAAGATCCTCCTCCTTGTCCTACCCAACCTCCTCCACTTCAGTGACTACTTCTCTCCTCTCCTTCCTCTCCCTCCCCCTCCTCCTCCTCCTCCTCCTCCTCCTCCTCCTCGTCCCCCTCCCCCCCCGTCCCCCTCCTCCTCCTCCTCCTCCTCCTCCTCCTCCTCCCTCCTCCTCGTCCTCCTCCTGGTCCTCTTCTTCCTCCTCCTCCCCCCCCCCCCCCCGCCTGCTCCCAGGAGCGAGCGCCGCACCCGGCCGACAACGGGCGCACGCGACTCTTGGCCGGAACGTCCGGCGGAACGCCAGAACAACGACGGAGCCTCCTCCTCCTCCTCCTCCTCCTCCTCCTCCTTCCTCCTCCTTTTCCTCCCCTCCTCCTCCTCCTCCTCCTCCTCTCCTCCTCCTCCTCCTCCTCCTCCTCCTCCTCCTCCTCCTCCTCCTCCTCCTCCTCCTCCTCCTCCTCCTGCTCCTCCTCCTCCTCCTCCTCCTCCTCCTCCTCCTTCTCGCCCTCCTCCTCCTGCTCCTCCTCCTCCTTCTCCTTCTCGCCCTCCTCCTCCTCCTCCTCGTCCTCCTCCTCCTTCCTCCAACGAGGAGCGCCAAAACAACGACGGAGGTCCGACTCCCCCGCCCCCAGGCGACGTGAGGAAACGGGATGCGCCGCCTCCGTCTGGTGCGCAGCATTGAATCGGGGAGACGTAAGACCCGGGTACGGGGGACTCGGAAATCCCCGACGAGGTCGTCAAAAAATGACGAGGCCGAGCCTGCATTTTGACGAGGCCTCCCGCTGCAGACATCCCACGAAACTCCTCCTCGTCAAAATCCGAGCCGCGGTCGTCAAAAAACGATGGCGAACCCGAGTCCTGGCAAACCCGGGTCTTACGCTCCCCCGATCCTGGGGTGCATGCTGACCAGAATCCCTTCAAGCCCACTGGGCGTAGGTGGTTTAACGAATTGTGACGTCTGTCCCCATCCCTCCCCTGCTCGGGGACGAGGTCTACCCTACCCCCATTCCCCCCCCTGGACCTGGGAGGGGGGGCGGCGTGTATTTAGAGCATCCAAGATGATCCAAGATGGCTCCACGGGGGCCCTCGGCAGTCCAAGACGGCCTCCGGGATGGCTCAGGATAGCCGAAAGTGGCTCAAGATAGCAGTAGACATACCTCCAAGAGGCCCCACGACAGCCTCAAGACGGCTCTAAGTGCCCATTCGAGCCTTCCCATGCACCCTTCAAGAGGCCAAAATCCTTAACAACCTTGCAACAAAAACAATAATGTTTGCCTTCTTGCTTTCGCGCTTCCAATAGGCATCAGAGGTCTCAATATGATCTCAAGATGGCCAAAGGGAGCCCCAAGAGGGGCCCGAGAGGGCCCCAAGACGGCCCCAAGAGCGTCCAAGAGACGCCCAAAAACACCTTAAGAGGGCTCCAAATGGCCATTTTGGAGCCTCCGAAGGCGGGGGGGCTGAATTGACGACCGCCCTCTTTTTGAGCCATGGGGGCCCTGACGGCCCCAAGAGACTTCCCAGACATATCAAGAGGGGCCCCAGGAGGAACCCAAAAAGGACCAAAGAGGACCCCAAGGAGGGCCCAAAGAGCCAAAAATGTTGGGCCTCCGAAGGAGGGGGTCTACATTTAGGAACCCCTCTCTTTGAACCATCGGGCCCAAGACGCGACGCGTTTAAGGCAACCGGTAACGAGTGACACGTCCAGGGAAGCAGGCAACCAGTGCCACGCGAAGGCAGCAGGTAACCAGCGATACGTCGGGAGAAGCAGGCAACCAGCGACACGTCGCGCAGGTCGCGCAATCGTTTCTGGATGAGCTGGTAGGGGTTTGTTTTGCGTCGCAACCGCAGGCGAAAGTGCCAGCGGCGAGTAAGGTCCGAGCGGGCCGCGCAAGAGCCTAGTTGCCTAACGACGACGGGCCGGCGACCTAAGCAGCGCCTGAGCGGGCGGGCCGGCGTAAGGGGGGGTACGGGCTGCAGCTGCCAGGGACCAGGCCCAGGAGCGCGCGCATGCACGATTAACAAAGCTGGTGGGGATATTTTTTTTGATCTGCGGCTCCAAGGAAGATTCCAGAGAGCGGGTCGAACAAGCTTGGGGCAGCAAGCGGACTGGTGAGGATACCCGAAGCGTCAAGAATTTCGAAGAGAAAATGCCAGTGGCGACGCGGGCTCCCCAGGAGTACCAGCAGCATCGGCACCTGCCACCCACAGGACAGATTCGGATGCCCCACGCTGAGCCTCCGAACGGCCATGGCAGGGCCCTGAACGGCGCTCCACACAAATATCACACTGGGACAAGAAGCTCCGGCGCCCATCCCTGCACTGGCCGGCGGGCCACGCACTGCCTGGCGGGCGGGGTTCACCTGTGTTTGAAAACTTGCCCAAAGAGCCCTCCTGCGCCCTGTGCGAGGGGCCGCTGGCCGTGTCTTAAAGCAACATTGCAACCTGCAGCGGGGCTGGCTCACTGCCGGCGGCGCCATCGGCCCGCCCGCCCCGGGCCCCCGCTGGAACCCCCTGCCGACCCGCTCGCTGGGGCGGGGGGGCCCAAGTGGCGGGCAGAACGCGAAGGACGCGCAACGGTCACCGCCATCGACCTCCACGAAGCCGCCGGCGACGGGGCCCGCGAACTCGAAGCCGCGGCCGGCCTCCACTCGTCGAAGTGTCAGCCCAGCGCGTCGCCCCCGCAGCTGCATGTGACCAGGTGGGCGCCCGGGCCGTCGGCCCTGAGCGCCTCGGCCACCTCGGTCGCCAGACGACGCCCTCCCTCCCCGCCCGCGCCGAGCGCGACGAAGTTGTCCGCGTAGCTACTCGGCGCGCGCAGCTCCGCAGCTCACGGCTGGCGCGGGCAGGCTGTCCACCAGCCAGCCCCCCACCTCGACTCCGGCGACCCTCTCGGCCACCGCTTCGAGCAGCGCGTGGCGGGCGCACAGCGCGACCTTGAACCATCGGCAGGGCGCTCGATCGGCGCGGGCGCCACCTTCTCGCCAGGATGCAGACGCACTCCGCCATGCCAACCGAGACCGACGGCCCCCGCCCGCGCCGGCTCCACCCCGAAGTGCCTCCGCAGCTCCTCCGATAGCCCAATGGAGTAGACGGCCACCTCGACGTCTACGCCCGACGCGAGCACCGGCGCGGCCCCCTCGAACTCGGGCAACCCAAAGTGCCCCCCGAGGTTCACACCCGGCGCACCCTTGAGCCAGCAGTTGCTCACGCAGCAATCCAGGATGAGACGTTCCCCCCCCGTCCAGAAGCACGCAAAATGAACCCGCGGTTTTCTTGCAGCTGCGCCTATGCTCGATGACCCCCCGCTCGCGCAGCCACCGCAGGAGCTTCGCGTGCCCCTTCGGCTTCTCGCGCGCGATCGGGTCGTTGCAGGCGCGGGGCAGCCGTCGCTTCTCTCCGGCCGCCCCCTCCTCGGGCGCCCGAGCCAAACGCTCGAGAACCTCGAGCGCCCGCCATGCCGCCGACGCCCAGGATGCGCGCGGGACGGCGCTGGAGACTGGGCAAAGCTACCCGCTCCACCTCGAGGGGGGCAACAGCCCGGCGGCGCCGCCGTAGCCCTGCTTGGACAGGAGCTCCCCCGGGCCCCCCTGTCCGCGACGTCAGCCGGCAGTGAGCCCAGCTCTTGATGAGCTTGCTGGATCCGCTGCCGGCAGGCGTGCTGCGCCGCGCTGCGCTGCAAATTCGAATCTCCAAGGCCCTGGGCGGCCCCGTGCAAGTCGTCGGGGGTGGCGATGGCCACAGACACTCCGTTCTCTCGACGACGCCTCCGAAGACCTAGCCGGCGGACTGCACGGTGCAAAAGCTCGCCTCCACCTGCTTCGCAAACCAGCTCGGAGAGAGGCGCGCGGCCTGCAGGCAGAGGAAGCGGCGAGAGCTCGCGAGCCACTCGACGCTCGCGATCAGAACTGCAAAACTGCGGAGGCAGGCCACCGCCCCTGCCGCTAGCTGCTCCAGCCAGCGGCCGGAGCAAGGGGGCGGAAACTCCCGCCTCATCACCCCCATCCTTCTGCATGTCGTTGGTGAGGGCTCGGCGCTCTTCCCGCGCCTTCCTCGCCTGCTTCGCGATGTTCGCGCCCCGTTTGACTTCCGTAGATGCGAAGTCCATCGGCTCCGGCGCCCGCGTGGCACCGCCAGCGTCTCGGCGTTGTCCTGTGAACACTGGCGACTCGTCCAACATTCCAGCACCCTTGCCGACGCCCTTCTTCCCCTTGCCGCTGGCGGTCAGCTTGGCGACGCGCTCCTGCTCGCAGACGTACTCCACCAGCTGCGCCCGGCGAACCAGCACCTCGAAACCCGCCAGGTTGCCCAGCTCCACGTGGCCGTGCCCGCCTGCCTCTTCCACGGCCTTCAGACACATCCTTTGCGTCTCGACTCCCACGATGTCCCGCCACTGGGGCCGCTGCCGCCCCAGGTCGCTGATCTGGATCCTGAGGATCCTCGCGTCTCCCCCCGCCTCGGCCGCAGTCCAGCTTCACGCGTCGCAGCGCTTCATCTGTCGGAGGGTGAGCACGGGGCCATCGGCCAGCAAGGACACGGCAACCCCCTTTCCGAAGATCGTGGCACCAGCAGGCAACCCCACCTCGTCTACTCGGCGGTAGTGCACGCTGGTCTCCACGACGACCCGCGCCCAGGTCTGGCCGTCTGGCCACCTCGATCCCCGCCAACTCCCCCGGCCCCAGCTCCACCGCCAGCGGCTCCAACAGGGGCGCCCGCGCCCCGCAGCCCTCCCGCGGCTGCCACGCCGCCGCCCCGTACTCCGGCGGCTGGCGCGGCCGCGGCGGGGGCGTGCGCAGGCGCGGCCGCAGCTGCCACCGCCGCGGGCAGCCGCTCGACGTAGACTCCCGCGGGCACCACAACTGGGTCGCGCCCGGCAGCGAACTCCAGGGCGCGGTGCTCGGCCTCGCCGCCAAAATGCTTCGCTCCCCCATGCCGCGCTTCTCCGCGTAGCAGTCGCCGTCAGCCGTCGGGATGTAGTTAGTCGCCTCAGACACCCTTGAGGTCGCGACGCGTCGCTTCTGGTGCCACAGCTCGCCCTCCCCCTTGTAGAACGCGCGCGCCCACGCGTGAGTGGGCTCCTCCAGCTGGGTCAGCACGGTCGGCGTCCTCGCCGCGTCGCCGTCGGCAGCAGCAACCTCTTGCAAGGCTCAACGCCTCCCCGCCGAAGATCCCGGCCAGGCACCCGCCCGCGAGCAGCGCGATAGTCCCGCTCCACGGCAGCCCGATCGAGAGCTGCACCTCCGCCGCCGCGGCCGGCGCAGCGCGCGGGGGTGGATGGGCGCCGACCGAAATCGAAGACGGGGTGGTGGTGCTCGGGGCAGCGCGGGCAGCTCGCCAGCTAGCTCTGCGTCAGTCCTGTAGCCAGCTGCGGGTGCTCTCCCCGCATCCACTTCGGAAGCAAAAAGAGGCGCGGCCTGTCCGCAAATTAATCTTGAGCGAAGACGGTTGAGTACATAAAGACACACATCAAGATTCGACCAATTATGTTGGAAAGGGGACACACTATCAATGTGCAATTACGAGCATCTATATATATATATATGTATATATACATATGTGTATATATACATATATACACATATGTATTATATATGTACATACATACATACATACACACATGCAGACTAGAACCGCGCGCGCTCTACGCGCGCGCTTGGGTTCTGGTCGATTGCGAAAAGTGGTGTTCGCAGGCATGTGTCCGATCCTGGTGTCTTTCAGGTGGCCCTCGCGTGCGATTGCCTGACATTCTGGCGCGCAGACCCACTGGCCCTGCGGGCGCAGGTGGTCTAGGGCGTTTGCTTTCCAGGTCCGTCATTATCCATTCGGAAAGGGTTGCCCCCCCCCCCCCCCCCCCTCTTGGGTCGGGGCGGGGGATGCGCGAAGGGTCAGGGCGTCGATGGTGGCCTAAGGTGACCCCGGAAAGGACCTGAGGTAGTCTTGAACGCTCATGGCCAGCGTCTGCGCCACGGGGCGCATGGGCACGGAATCAGACGCGGTGGGAATGTTACGCGAAGCATTTGCAAGTTAGGAGCTCCAACGGGGTCCGGGGCAAAATGCACCTGGCTTCTCCGCGCAAATCGGGGCTTCCGATAGAGAACAGCCACGCGCGCACAGCTCAGCTTGACACTTCCATCAACCGCATGGGCGGATGACATTCTAATTCGAAAAATCGAATGCACATGAAGCTCGCCGCCCAATGAACACTCCAGTTGGTTAAAAGATGGGAACGGTGCTAATCCAATGTCGAGCCTGGGCATTTAGCGTTGAACGATTGCAAATGTGGAGAGCGACGCCTTCTCGCGTCGCCGGCGTCGCAGGCATTCCCCAGACATCTACGACACGCGTGGATCGAATGCGTCCCCCTGCCAACCTCAATGCGCGTTGTAACGTCACGATGTCGAATACAAATTGATGAATCAACGATACTTCCCTCCAAAAACATCCGGCTCTCACCGCGGCCCTCACCTCTCCGGCGAGCCATCGCCCAAATGAGAAAACACACGCGCATTGACCTATGCGGGAAAGACTTCGGACGGGAACGAACGAACGAACGACAACCGGCGCGGACAGCTGTCCGGGCTTCGTGAGACCAGGCGAGCGAGGCCGTAGCCTCCTGATGCTGTAGCGCAACGTGAATCATGCACGCCAGACATATCAAAAATTGAATGGTGCGAAAGGGGCAAGCGCAAACCTTGTTGTCGATGTCGTCGCGTTGGCGGTGCCACGTCGCTGGGTGGAATCGGCGTCGGTCGTCTATGCTCGGTTAGGTGTTCCGGTCGTCTGGTGACGCCAGGCGCCGGTGGTCTGTGTTGCCGCGCTTGGTTGTTGGTTGTTGGTGCTCGTGGTCGGGTGGTCGGCTCTGCCAGTCCTAAGTGCGACAATCATTATCATCGTGCGTCGACGCGAGATCTCGTGATTTCCACCTTGTCGTCTTTGTCGCAGATGGGAGCCACGCCGCATTCTTGCTGTCACGGAGGAGGTATTACCGCGGCCGCATGGCGTCATCGGTGTCGCGCAGTGTGCTATACTCGGCAGCATACCGGCGCGCGTTGCGCAGAAACTTCCGCGCATCGTCGTCCCATCGCTTGTGCTGGCTATCGGGTTGTCGGTATCCCTGTTGCTTTGTCCAAGTTAGGCTTCCAATTAGTAGCTCGCTGTGTCCACCTACTGGGTGGGTGGGTCGCTACACGTACTGCCGACTGCTAAATCACTTTGCGATGCATCTGCGCCGCGTCTGGGATGTCGCGCGAGCTCCTCATCTCCGCGGGTGCACAGGTGGATGTAGTCAGACCAAAGCTCGGCGTCGTCTGTCGCCCGGGATGGGCCGACGCTGTCCTCTGTTGATCGGAAGGTGTATGATGGAGCTGGCGGTTTGCTAGAAGCGTCGTGGCCGCTGCAATCGTCAGAAGTGCTGCCGCGGGGGCCGTCGTTCTTAGGAATGCCCGTTGCTGGGGCGGCGTGCGACGGTGAAGCTGCCGTCGTGCGTCGCCGCGGCGTCATCGCCCTGGCCATCCGTCGTTGCGTCCAGCGCAGCTGTTGTTTGACAGGCTCGGTTGCCGTCTTGACTCTGCGCCGTGCATCATCGCGGGTATGACGGTGCCGCGGTGCAGTCGCAGCCTGCGCTTGAATGAGCAGCGCTTGCTCGGTAGTTCTCTTCTGCGACCTTTGATCAACGCCTGTGGAGCCTGGGTGCGACGCTGAATTTCGGTCGCCGCGGTGCTTTGACCTGGCAGAAGTGGTTCAGGTGATCTGAGAAATTCCAGCGTTGCAGCCGTTGCCGCTAACGTTCAGGTCCCCGTTCGGTGTGTCACTACCCTTGTCTTTGTCGGGTGTCTATCAAAGCTTAACTCAAGACCGTGAGGAGCCGCTGCCCTGGTTAGGTACCCAAGCAATGTCTTCAGGTTGGGAATAGTCTGACAAAGCAGAAAGGTGTCGTCGGCGAAGAGGGAGTTGGCGAGAACAGATTCGTCCGTGCGTGCTAACTGTACTCGTCGTCGTCGTCGCTGCCAGTCGAAGAGTGCGTAATTCCGGAACGCGTTGCAGTAGTTTCCAACAAAGTGAGCTCGAACGGTCTTCGTGTTGCGTGTTCGTGCCTCGTCTGCGCTTGAACGGTTAGCTGGTGAAGTCGGTGCGAACAGAAAGCCTTCTGGTCGTGGTGAAGACGCCGCAGCAGGTGGACGCACGCGGGTGGCACGCCTTGTCGCCGCAATATTGTCGCGGATATTGTGTTCCACTGTGCCGGAAGCTTTCTTAAACCCTACGGCAGCTATCCACAGACCCCAATTCAATTCGGACGCCCTCTCGCGCAAGCTCTTGACAATGAGAAGGTGGTCTCGCGTGCCGCGCCGTGTTCTGGGCTCCACTTGGGCACCCAGCTGACATTGTTAACATATTCGCTGTAGCATGTTGTAAAGAAGACGACGGACTAGTTTGCATAGCGCGGGCATTGCGCAGATCGGACATCGTGACCCGATTTGGGGATCAGCGTGATCCTTGTTGCCCTCCGACTTGTTGGCGCGGGTGCGCGTGGATCTGGGACTACGCCGTAGACCTGCAACAAGGCGCCAACAAGTTCCAAACAATTTGAGCATGTATTATGTGATCCCCTCAGTGTCGGGTGACTTCCCCAGCTTGAATTGCGAGATTGCTGTGTCGAGTTCTTGCGCCGGTAATAATATGCTGCTGGGCGTCAGTCGCGCTTGGTGATGCGGCGGCGGCGCCGGTGGGATTGCACAGCTCCTCGCGAAACGTCGCGAATGATTCAGAAATTCGCTGGCGAGTCCCGTGCTTGGTGCCGTCTCGGTGCTCATCTGCTGTCGTCGCTTGGTGCGCTTCCGTCGGCCCCTCGCGTCTGTGTTTGGGATGCTGTTGCGCTGCTCCACAACGTGGGTGATGATGTCGTTGGCATTGTCAGGGTCGTCGTCGTTGATCGAGCTTCTCCCGATCATGGCATGTCTTTCCCTGGGGGATGTGCTGTGCTGCGTGGCGTCATTCGAACTCAATTCGATTGTTTTGTTGAAATCGTCCGGGCCAACATGTAATAGCTTGCGTTGCAGCTTCGGGGGCATATGACGTCAACGCACATTGGGGTCGATGCGTCTCTGCTCCTGGTCGGTGTCATGTTTACTCGGTCGCTGATGTCTGTCTGTGCCGGGGTCCAACATTTGAGACGCGCGCGCAAACATGCCGCCTTGTGGTATGAGTTGAAATCAATCGCATTGCTGGCTTCGGCGTTCCAGCATGAACGGAGCAAACACTTGTCCACGAATGTGTAATCGTAGCGCCGGAATGCTCCGCCGCCCGTTGTGTAGGTAATCGGCTTGTCTGGACGCTTGCGGAAAAACGTGCTCACGATTGCAGGCAGCTCGTTTGCAACGCAATGTCGCAACCATTGGCTTCGGGAAGTTTCGTCGCAGAGCCCGCGGGCTCCCACGCAATCGAGACATATGTCGGATCGGGGTTGCGCAATGTCGGCGGCGCCACTCCGGGGCGCGGTGGAGAACCAATTTGGGCGTTGAGGTCGGCAGTCATAAGTGTCGTATGCGTCGGGGGCGTGCTTTTGTGAGTTGGGCGCCGGCGGTGAATGTGGTGGTCCGTATACCCGGCGTGCGGACATTATGCCGACACCAATTGAACTCAAAGCTTCCTTTCCCTGATGTTGAGAGTCGCGATTCTCGCACTGATAGCCTACCACTCTGACACGTGCTTGCTCCAACGCTTGTGTAGACTCCGTGTGCTCGTTGTAATCCATAACTCTTCACTGTTCTGCCCGCCAAGTTTCGTCGATTCGAACAACATCCCAATGCGAAAAACGTAAAATGTATGCAACCAACGTTCACCAATCCCACCAGCCCTTTGGGCGTGAGTGGTTTAGCGAGCTCTCTCTGTTCTCAGCCCCCCTTCTTCCCCTTCGGGGAGGGGTTTACCCCTCCCCCTCCCCCCTCCCCCTGGGCCTGGAGGGGGCCTTTCGCGGGTGGTTGGAGGGTCCTTTTCCGACTCCTGGGAGGGCTAAAAAACCACACCCCTCACGAGGATTCTGGCCCCGACGGGGGGACTGACGGAAATGCTCCCCTCTTCTTTGAAGCCAAAATCATTGATTTTACTAC